AGGACATTGTTGCACAAATTTGCCCACTTAAAGATGAGGGGTTTTAAATCCCAAAATCCCCCCACCCAGCAGGGGTGCCGGGGGAATTCTGGGAATTGAAGTCCACTCATCTTAAAGTGGCCAAGTTTGGACAACACTGCTCTAGAGAAACTATACAACAGCCTTCCCCAACCTGCTGCCCTCCTGATGTATTGGGCTACAGCATGGATGATCTCCCAACTAGCATTGAAAATTGGCAATGCTGCCTAAGGACAGGTGTTGTTCCTAACAAAAAAGTCACTATTGTATCTTTAAAGATAGGTTTATTAAGGGTGATTGGAAAGGAAGAATTTAATAGAATATTTTCCCCTTCTCCTGAATCTTTTCTCATTTACAGATTGAGATTTGTGTCTGTATGGTCATATGCTCCTGTACCCCAGCATAAAGGGATAAGGTGGAACAAAATAGCCTAGAAGTGAGTGTGCTCACTAAGACTAGTCAAATGTATTCCAAAATTAACATGAATTTTTCTTCAAGAAAGAAAGAAGCAAATGGCCAGAAACAAAACCACTGCTCACAGTTGTCCGACTTATCAGATACATCTGTATAAATATCTACCATTTCAAATACATAGGTCAAAATTAGCAGCATCATAGCACTGTGGTAGAGAGTTGAATGTTATGTGTTTTGAAGTAAAGATAATGTTATGAAACCAGCAATTTTATCATGCCTGCAAGATTATTACTTTAAATGACCCTAATAAAATCTTTAGGCAACATTTACAATGCCAGTTTGCTTTCTATGTAGAAAGAAGCTGCTAAAAGAGAAGAAGCACTTGCATCCTTTGAAGCTTGGAAGGCTGTGAAAGAAAAAGAAGCAAAAAAATCAGCTGAGAAAAAAAAATTGGAAGCGGAAAAGAAAAAGAAAGAAGCAGAACTAAATGAGAAGAAAAAGGAAGAGGCACAAAAGGCAGTAGAGATTTCTATCTTGCAAATGTTAAATTTGGTGAAAGATCATCAAAAAATACTAATTGAACAGTGCATTTTCGGTGCTCTATAAATGAACTGCTTCTGTAATTCCTTCAGATTACCTTTTTTTTAAAAAAAATCACTCTGTATTTGTTGTAGGTTTTCCAAAATTACTTTGCAAATATTGTAGATCATATAGGTTGTAAGGCCTGGTGATATAACTACAGGACAATATATTTATAGAATCTATCCTGGGGAATAATTTTAAAATATATGGCCAAGAGTTCTAGATAAACTTTCTTGTGGGGAGGGAAGCTAGTTTTGTTATATTATTATAGTAAAAAATAAATAGTAAAAATGCGAGGAACATAATTTGTAAATAGTAGTTACAATAATACAGCAGTTTGAGCATATTATGTCAACTTTTAACAGGTATCCTAGCTTCTGAGCCCCTACATAAGGCTGCCTGACTTTATGATTATCCTTAAGGATGCCAATACAGGTAGTCTTCGGTTAACAATCACTCATTCAGCGACCAAAGTTTTGATGGCGCTGAAGGAGTGGTGGTTATGTCCAGTCCTTGAAGTTCCGGGTGTCCCAGCAACCCTGTGGTCACATGATCACAATCTGGCACTTGGCAACTGGCTCATGCTTACAATGGTTGCAGCATCCCATGGTCATGTGATTGTGATTTGCAACCTTCCCTGCTGGCTTTCCACAAGCAAAGACAATGGGGAAGCCAGCAGGGAAGGTTGCAAGTTGCTCAGGTAAGTCTCTCCCACCCATGCATCCTCTCCAGCCCCCCTATGCTTGCACCACACCTCCCCTGCCACTTGAGGATCCATGTGCACCCTCTCCGAGCTCATACCGTGCCTCCCCGGCCTTAAGCACCCTTCCTGATACCCTCGCACACCCTTCCCCACCCAGCAGCAGTCCTCCTGCACTCATGCTATGCCTCCCTGGCCACCCCCACACCCTGGCCACTTGCGCACCCTCTGCCACCCAGCAACCACCACTCCAAGCCCCACCATGCTCACCCCATGCCTCCCCACCACTTGTGCACCCTCACACACACAGCAGCTGCCACCCCAAGCCTGTGCTCATGCTGCACCTCCCCAGCCACCAATGTTCCCCTCCTTCTCCTACACATTAGCAGCCACTTACCTGCCTCCTTGCTTGCAAGCCGCCTGGGACTTGCAACTTCCTGCTCGCTTCTCCACTGACTTTGGTTGTTGGAAGCCAGCAGGAAGTTGCAAGGTGGTGCTTGCTTAATGACCCATGATCCTTACTTAATGGGGACTGCAGGGATTGCTGTTGCTAAGTGATGTGGTTACATGATGTTGCACTTTATGACCGCATTGCTTGGCGATGGAAATTTTGGTTCCAATTGTCGTTTTAACTCAAGGACTACCTGTAAATAGATAGTAACTGATTCAAATAAGATGAAACAGAAATGTAAGTAGTATACTGAAATTCTGTTCAGTACTGATGTCAAAATCTAAATTACTGGAGAAGGTCTTCCCTATTTACAAGAAACTCTAGTACTAGAAGATGAAAATAGATCAGTACTCTGGTCATTACAAAGTTGGAAGGTAACAGGAATTGATGCAAAATCTCTAGAAATATAGTGAGTGATGGAAGAAGAATCTGTAAAGTTGCTAACCAAACTAAGCCAGCGAATCTGGAGAAGGACACAATGACCTACACATTGGAAGAAGTCAATCAACATATCAATGCCAAAGAAAGAAGACTTAAACTGTCGCACAACATCTTTAATTTCACATGCTGGCAAAATAATGCTTGGGGCATCCAATGCAGATTAGACCCCAAATTAGAGCCCAGCATTCCAGAAACCTCCAGAAAAGCCAGATGTTCAAACTGGTTTTAGAAAAGGCTGGAGAACAAGAGATATTATTGCTGATGCACACTGGATAATTGAGAAAGCCCAAGAATACCCAGAAGTAGTCAATATGTGCTTCTCTAATTATAGAAGTGTCTTTGCTTATGTTGACTGTGTCAGGGTCTCACAGTTTCACCTTATTTATTCAGCCTATGTGTTGAATATATATTGAGGGAGATTGGATTGGAAGAAGGTGAGTTTCAAAATTGGAGGAAGAAACATCAATAACCTGTGATATGCTGATGATACTACTCTGATAGCTGAAAATGCAAATGATCTGCAAACTCTAATAATGAAAGTCAAGGATCACAGTGAAAAAACTGGGAATAAAATTAAAACATAAAGGCCAAACTAGAACAAATACAGCAACCATTCTTAACATTTACAGTGAAGACTTTGAAGTGGTAGATAGCTTCTGCCTTTTAGGATCGACTATCAACAGTAAAGCAACCAGCAGTCAAGAAATACACCACAACTAGCACTTGCTTAGGTAGCAGTGAAAGTCTTAGAAAGGATATGCAGATACCATGACATATCTGTATTTACAAAGATCAGAATTGTGCAAGCAGTGGTTTTCCCAGTGATGCTGTATGGAAACAACAGTTGGACTTTGAAGAAGTAGGAGAAAAAGTCTTGATGCTTTTAAATTTTGGTGTTGGATAAGACTCTTGGAATACCATGGACAGCCAAGAAAACAAACAAATGGATCAGAGTACAAATCAACCCAGAGTTCTCAAGGCACAAATGACCAGGTTCAAATTACTGTATTTTGGGCACATTATGCTAGCCCCCATGGGAAGTCTATAATGCTGGAAAAGAAGGAAAGAGAAGAAGGGGACAACCCGCATCAACATGGATGGACTCAATTGCAGCAGCAATGGGTGCATCACTAGGAGACCTGAAAGACCAGGTTGGGGACAGATCATCCTAAAAAAGGTCTATGTGGTCTCTAAGTGTCAAGACCAGCTTGGTAGCAAATTATCACATCAGTCTATGTTCCCCATCAAAAGGCTTAGCCTTTTCACTTGTGGTTTTTTATTTTAGAACTTGCATCTCAGAGAGATTCCTTTCCTGATAATAGGCACCAGTGGAAGCCTTTTTTATTTGTTCAGGCACTTTAGTCTTGTTTTGGTTTATACTATATTTTGAACAGCTTGGTACAATTGTATTGCATTTTAATGGTTTTATATGGTAAGATCTCTGAAAGCCATGATGCCAAGCAACTATTTCAACAAATTAAAGATTATCTTTCCTTGTGGTAAATGTTAGGCTTGTAAAATAACAAATCATTTCACACATATACTAAGCTTTTATTTTTATGCATATGTATACAGCAGTCCGTATGTATTTATAGGTACAAAAATACATAGTTAAACCTATTAGAAATTCTTTTAACTGCTTGTTCAACCCTAATGAATAACTTCTGGATCTAGTTCTGTACAATTAATTAATTAATCAACTTCAAATTTCATGGCAATTGTAAACCACCTGTTTATTTACTGGTATTTTATTTAATAAATTAAAGGGGGGAAAGATAGGAACTTCTGGATCAATTCTAATGGGTTTCCTACTCTTTTTTTTAGGCTTTTGAGAAATGGAAAGAAAAGAAAGCTGAATATTTAAAACAGCAAATACAAAGGGAGAAGAGAGTTGAAAGATTAAAAAAGAAGAAAGAACAGGAGGTTGTTGCAGAGAAGAGAAAAGACAGCAGGTCTGCAGTTGAAAAATGGTATAGTTCATCATTTTGAATGTTATATATTTGATTATGTCACCTACCTAACCTTTGTATATATAGAACTGTGTTACACAGTTTACGATACTTTATGACAATGCATAGATTTCCTCTATGTTATAAAACGTTTTTTCTCTAACTTTTAGGAATGAGAAAAAAGAAGAATTCATGAAGCAAAAGAAAAAAGAAAAACTCCAGGAAAGAAAAAAAGAAGTAGAACAACAGGTTGAGAAAGAAGAACAGGATAAAAGAGCTCTAGATGAATATAAAAAATGGCTGGTAAGTATATGCATTTGTGATAATACAAGATACTTCAGGCATGCATTGAAAAGCATCTAAGCTTTTGTTCTGAAAAAACCAGATGGTGGCAGTATAACCTTTCTTGCTAACTTCTTTTTACAGTACATCTAGAAAATATCTAGATGCCTGATATTTCAGAGTTGGATTTCTGCCTACCAAAATTAAATATTGCTTAGATAATGTAGAAAGAAAATCCTGCTTTGCAGAAGGTATAACTTAAGAATAGACTGATATGTTCAACCAGAATGTAATTACTGTTATCATGAGGGATGGGGTTGGGGTGGGTTGTGAGAAATATTCATAAGGAACCTAATAAGAGCCAGGTTACTGAGAAATAAATTAATCTTTCCCATCACCACCATACCATTAGAACAAATGGAATTTTTTCTCTCATACCAAATGGTTGGTAGAAGGTGGTTAATCATTAATCATCTTTATCCCACATGTTCTGTCATCCTTGCCTGGGCCTCTCTAGCACCCATTATTTACTGGTTTTTGTTTGTGTTTTAAGCAGTATTATGTTATACATTAAATGGCCTATGTACTTGGAATCTAACAGGTCTGAGAAAGATACCTAAAAAAATATTCTTACTGGCTCTTCTGTAGCTCCCGAAGAGACTGTATCTGCCTTTTGGTTCATATTTTTAAGTTATCTTTTCTCCATCATGAATTTTAATAGCTTCCTTAATAGAAAAGAAAACTCATTTCTCCATAGAGAAGAATGACTCAGAGTAGAATTTGCCATATTAGTGGTTTCATGTCCTGCTACTAGCGTCAGTAGAGTTTTTTCTCTTCTCCTGTTCACTGTTAGGAACAACCGCTCCTACGACACCATGTCAGCACTGCCCAGAACCAGCGTAGCATAGCAGCAGCTGCACAAGTGAGTGAATGCAGTAGATACAAGGAAACAGAGTTGTACTTTATAGAGTACAGTGTGTTTTTTTAAATTCAGAATTGATAGCATTTTCAGGTACTATACACTTAGATAGATGTTTGGATACTAGTGTGTGGAAGTTACAAGAGTTTGATCACCTACTTGAAGTTGCTTTACTTTCTTAATTAGTTTTACAATGTTGTTGACAGTGGCAAAATCTACAGTGTTGACATGCAAAAGAAAAGTTTCAGCATGCTTTATGTTGAGCGTACCATTAATAAGTATTGTATTATCACATGATTTAAAAAATAGGTAATATTTTCTTATTGTTTTCCTCCTCCCCCCCCATCCCATTTTTTCCCTTTTCAGAAGAGGAGAATAATAAACATCTACCCATATACACAAATGTGTTTCAGTCTGGTCACAGGCCACTTGAAACTATCTGTTCTATGCATTGGACAGGATGTTTTGTGTGTCTCTTTTGATTTCTTTTAGCGTAAGATGATAAATTTATCACTTGCAACTTGAGGATAATATGTAAGATATACAATCTGTTATGTTGAGTTAGTTAGGGAAAGACAGAACAGCATTCGTGGGCAACAGAAAAGTGAAAGGCAGAGTAGACTCAGTAAGTTGTGGAGAATTATGTTTGATCAGCTGGAGAAGGAAGAAGATGCTCTTGGCTAGCAATAAGTGCAGATGTTAATGTAGTCTGATTTGCAGTTCTTTGATGTAGGCAGTGTTTTAAAGGGGCAATAACAACAATTTTAGAATATTTGGGGAAGTACTATATTAATACATGATTTTAATTGTTTTAATTTAAATTTGATGGAGTATTCTAATATTTCTTTTTTCTTATCCATGTTTAAATTTTTTAAAAAAGAATGCACTAATACTTTTTTGAAGACTACAGTTTGACATATATCTTTTTCCTTCTCCTGTAAACATTGCTTATAGTGACTGGATAGCAAGTTTATATTTTTAAATAATCTGACTCTAGATATTGCTACATATAATTATCTATATGTGAATTCTTGCAGATACAATTCAGCATACTTGCAGATGTTGTCAAACTTAGTTTTGCTCTGGGTTATTTGTCATTGCAAATATTTCTTTTTTAGGAAATCATGAAAGGAACTGAACTTTTTGGAAGAATTAAATCCAACCGCATGTTACACTGAGGGCCCTAAAGAGAGTCTTTATGAATTCTCCATTGTTGCTTGTTCTTTTTTATCAGAAACTCACAACATGTAAAAACAATGCAGGTTTACAAGTTTTATTGTTCCCTTTCTGAATTGAAAGCTCCACTCACCGACTATGCATACCTATTCTACTCAAAGTCTTAGCTGGTCAAGTTAGGTTTGAATTATAGAAGAATTAAGGTAGAACACCTTCTATGTGCAGTATCTTACTAGATGTGACATTTCCAAAGGATTGTAATCCCTATACACTTTTATAACTTTCAGCAAAGATTAACTAATCCATCAAGGATTGGCCAGTCCCACCTTGACACTTTTCTAATACCTCCTGGTACTTCTGCACTATCACTGCCTCATCTAATTCACATGGAAAATACTTGTTGTTTTGAAAACCATTTTGTAACTGTATAACAAGATACTGTATCTAAGTTATCATTCTCCATATGCTACATTAGCTAATATCTTCTGTGGTCTGTCTTGAGGGGACTTATGTACTCCATCTTTCATAAACTGTATGTCCATTCATGATTTCACACAAATATATGGCACAAAGTATATATAAATTCAGTTATCAATGTATAAGATAACTAACACTGGTAACCATATAGAGATATGTGGAAGCAGAACTTAAATCATCAATATTTTTCCTGTAGTATGTTGAGTTCTATAGTATGCATGTTCAGCACTTGAAGCCATATATCATTCATTCATCCTTTCTCTGAATTTAAATTTCTTTTTATAATACAGTTGAACCCTTTTTGAAATTACTCTATAGTAAAGTGACACATTCTGTAAGGTATTTCATTTGCTCACTATTTTTTCTGTTTTTCTGTTCATACTGTAAATTGTATTGTTTACTTCATTCATTTTGTAAGGGTTGCTGCTATATCTTTGGAACCAAGTACAGGTGCTAATTATGTGAAGATAATTCTGCAAATCTCTATCTTGCTCCATTCTTCCTGCACCTTTCTTCAACTTTCTAATTTCCTCCTCCACCATGTAGTCCTGATCATTTGCTTGTTACTTTTTGTTGATTTATTGACAGACTGACATGGGGAAAACAATCTCAGTTCAGATTTTTCTTGTGAAAGTTCCATGACTAGTAAGCATTCCATGCTCATTCTCTCTTCTGATTGAGGAGTTGAGGCAAATTGGTTCATTCCAGAGGGAAGACCCATGTCTTCTTTCAAAAATTAAAACTTAATGGCATTTATTATGGCCAACAACTCACATTGCCCTTTAACCTTTGGTGGTGGTCACAACAGTCAGTTCAGTGATGATAAAAATGAAGTTATCTATAGGCTTATAAACAGTTTTTATAGTTCTTTCTTGCCCTTAAATTTGTTCATTTCACTATTTGGCAGGCTAATTCTCACAATTGCCTCTTGAGAAATTCTGAATGTGCAACACTGCCAAGTGCTCCCCACAAAACACTACCGTTGTAATTTGGAAAAATGCTAGCAATTTTCTGAAAATAGTCACTACCTTTTAGTCAAATTATGTGTTTATCACTATTCATAATATCCTATTTGTCATAAAAGAAGGAATTATATTTTATTATAAGATGTGTTTTGTGAATTTGCCTTCTTTTATAAAGAAGGAACTGGTTTCTATCCATATTACTTCACTAAAAGAAACAAAATACTCAAGATGCCTGATCCCTTCTACTTGACATATAGCCTTTCAATATATTCCGTCAAGGAATCTTTTTCTAAGGAATATATATTCCAGAGAGAGAAAGAGAGAGAGAGAGTCAGTCAGTCAGTCCCCGGGTTAAGAACACCTGGCTTAAGGATGACCCATAGTTAAGAACAGAGCCTATTGTAGCA